TAATAACGGTCTTATCAATAATAAGGATGAAAAAATGAGGCAATCTGTGATAACACGAATAATGAAAAACAGTATGATTAAACAAACAATCGTTCAGGTGGACATAGTAGTCGATAAAGCCTAGTAAAAACAAATGAACCGATTACGTAATGTTAGATTGTAAGGGAAGGAAATGAAACACGTTTATAATGAAGATAAGATTAAGGGATGATAAGAAAGGGGTTGAAAAAATATAAATAAGGGGTGGTGTAGAAGTCTTTAGTTGGTTATGTCTTATTAGACCAAGGGAGGGATAATGACTGTACGAACTTCTTTTGAATGCATAGTTTAGGTTTAGTAGTTCGAATGCCTATCGCCTCAGCTGTGTGCAGTAGACGAATACGAAGTCTATTAGAAAGATTCGGTGGGATATGATGTATTACTTGGAAGGCTTTCGTTTTCTCGACTACATGACCACTTATCAAATGTGACAGAATTGAGCTACGGATTGTTTTTATCATTACTACTATTATGACTAATTGCACAAGTTATATTCACCATCGTCTTATCCTATAGACAAGACACCATGATTGGTTTATATTTGAATTTTTATTTGTAAACTTATATATATATATATATATATATATGAGTTAAGCCTGATGAGATCTAATTGAAAACAATATTGTTCACTTAAATGTGTTGTTGTAAATTTTCGTATACAATTTCGGCTAGCAGACAGGTCTCACTATAAACACATTATCACGATGATGATTCCTGACCGAAAGCAACAATAACAGAAATCTGAAAGGAGCAACCTCCTTCAACCACCTATCTACCTACCTGGGAACCATCGTTTCAACTACAGATGGATGGAACTGACGGGGATATCAAAGCAAGGATCAACGGGAAAGCAAGACAAGCTTTCATTACTCTCAAGTCTGTGTGGAGGTCAACAGCACTCAGTATCAAAAATAAAATCCGGATTTTCAACTCCAATATGAAGTCAGTGCTAGTCACTATATGGATCAGAGACTTGGCGCGTCATGAAAGCACCTCAAACAAACTCTACACAACTTCATCAACAGCTAGCTGTCTTCGCTCAATAATAAGATTAGATGGCCAGAAAAGATCAGCAATAGTGAGGGATTTCTGGGGACGAACCAATCTAGTAAGGACCGAGTGTGCAACAAATAAGCAGGAAGAAATGGAGATGGATTGGCTTGACCATACCCCGTGACAAAACAAACCATCATCAAGTGACACCACATGACAGGCCGTCACTCGAGTGGAAGGCGAATGGTAAGCTGTGAGTCAGCTGGTCGTCAGTGCGAGGATGACATGGAGGAGGCGGTGATTTAAAGAGGAGATGAGATCATGTGGGTGGGTGGACGTGAAGCCAGGTGAAGACGTTAGCAGATAACCGAACTCAATGAAGACGTGTGATTGAAGGCCTATGTTCCTCTAGGAATTAAAGAAGATAATAATAATAATCATGGAGCATGAAAAGAATGTGGCACATTCAACTGTTTTATCGATTAAACTGATAACAAAAATACAATACCTTCAATATCCGACCAACCATATACAAACTACCAGTGACAAATATATGACAATAGTGTGCAGCATTATTCCCAACAAGATTATCTGATATGCTTGTTTGATCAGACGAATACGACTGTAAATCTTCGACAGAGAAATACGCCTTCTGATGAAGCCAATTCAAGAAATCAGATATAGATTTCATGTGCTTGACGACAGATTGACATGATGTCTTGTCAGTGTTGTTCAACTCTGATTTGAACTGAGACCAAATCTTAAAGCATAATTCATCATGTGATTCTTTGCTAGGAAGAATATCTAATTGGGATAAAGCAAAGAAAAAACAATAAAAATAAGTTAGCTTAAATTTCTTCGCCAAATAATACATTACATTAAAGTGATGGTTGTTTGCAAGAATTTGATTATTTTCAGTATTTCATCGTGACCTGCTTTGGTGGAATTTTATGCCTGTTTCCTGACTGCCCGTTGTCTGTCGCATTATCTAACCTACCGCAATCAGGAAAATCATTGGCGATAGTAGACAGCCTTGTCTTACTCCTGTCTTAACTTCTTCGAAGGATTCGGTAAGTTCCCCGTTGTGGATTAGTAGGCATTCAGCATTGTCGTACAACTGTTGGATGAGATGTATAATTATCGGCGGCATATATATGAATTTGCTTGTGCTTGTGGAAGCAAATACATGTAGGCCGGTACAGAAAGGTAGATTGTCTACTTGTCACATGATGAAACATTTGCCACGGTGGTTGAAAACAAATGAATGGAAAATGATTCAGAGTTCAGAAACAAATCTACTTTTGGACCTAGGACATGATATTGACGCGATGTCAAGTCATTCGTATTCTTTTCCAACACTCCTATATATTCCGAGTGGAACATATGCGGAGAGTGAGTAGGGCTAAAGCTTACTCCTCGCAGTTTCAATAGCGTTAGGGTTTTTTACGGGATGAAGTTGCTAGCTTCACGTCAAACTTTTCCTTTTTTTTCAGACATGCAACTGCCTAAGTGACGTACAGAAATACATCTCGTGTGTGGTTGGTGATCTGTACGACTGAACCATCGACACATGAATGATACGTTAGGATTATCAATATTAGTTTACCATATTGCTCAGATGAACCCTGAGGATGTCATCCCTAAAATAAAAATAGCACTAAGTGGCATAGGCAAAACAATAGATGACGAAGTACGGGAACAATGTGCACTGACATCAAGACGACAAAAACGTGGAAAACCTAACCTGACAAAACCAGAGATAGAAGCCCTGAAACACCTTAAGAACAATAAGGACATAGTAATCACAAAGTCAGACAAAGGGAATGCAACAGTAGTATTAGACAAACAAGACACGATCATATGAGAAAATAAATAAAACAAAAGACACAGTTATGAATAAAGTTAAAGAATCCACAGCGGACCTTATACGCCGAATGAAGCCGTTTCTAAGTGAATCTAAATGGTTTAATTTAATGCCCATGACTAATCACTCCAGCAGGATGTATGGTGTTGTTAAACTGCATAAGTTAGAATACTCTGTTAGACCTATAGTTGATTTTAGAAATTCACCTAATTATGAATTATCTAAATATTTAGCCATGGTATTAAGTCCCCTAAAAATCCACTCGAAATCTAGACTAACAAATTCTTATGAACTAAAACACAGATTAGATAATTTAAAATTAGATAATGAAGAAAAAATGGTTAGTTTTGACATTGTCAGTTTATATACACGTATACCAATAAATATGGCTATAGAGGCAATCAGAAACGAACTCATTTCTGACCAAGAACTCGAAATTAGGACAAAAGTGCCACTCCAGGACATAATGCTGGGAGTGCAGCTTTGCCTGACTTCTACAGTATTTAAATTCCAAAGGAAAATATACTAACAAACTGAGGGAGTTTCCATGGGATCACCAATATCCCCGGTTGTAGCAGATATATTCATGGATAGGTGGGAAAAGATAGCGATTGAAACGTTCACCCCCACCCCAAAAGTATGGTGGAGGTATGTAGATGACACATTCACTGTACTTAGAACACAGATATAGAAAGATTTTTCGAACACATTAACTCGAAGGTGGTGGCAATTCAATTTACTTATGAATTGGTAAGTCAGGAAAGGGAGCTTCTAATGTTAGATTATAGCGTAAAAAGGAAAGAAAATGGGAATTTAAACACATACTAGTGTGCTTACAGAAAACTCACACATTCAAACAGATATTTCGACTTCCGATCATCCCATACTATGTCAGTGGAAATAGGACTGGTGAAATGTCTAAGTGACAGAGCACAAAAACTAAGTAGTACCAAGAAAAATCTATGACAGGAAGTGATAAACATAAAATAAGCCTTGAAACTTAATAATTACCCTGATAAATTAATAAGAAAGTATGTAGGGAAATGTAAAAATAAAATAAATAATGACATTGATAATTGTAATATTAATGACGATATGTATATCAAACATCCTTAGAACAATGACAACACCAACAATAAGGAATCTAAATCACCAGCAGTACTTCTTTACAAAGAGGGAACCTAGGAAACCTTACGCAGAATTCTTAGTAAGGCGGGCAGGAATAGAAGTGGCTGACATTCAAACCACCCACAAACTCAATTAGAAACAAGCTTTGTCGGTTAAAGGATCAATCCTGTGCGGCCTTTAAAACAAAACAATTTAGTTTATCTAATATCCCACCCGTGATGATAGTCAGGTCGAATACATGGGTCAAACTAGTAGAACAGGTGCAGTGAGTCAGACTAGCACAACATAAAAAGATAGCAGCAAAATCTATATTGGTTGACCCAAATAAGATAAGAAATCTACAGAATAGTTCAGCCGTATATAGCACTACATGCAGTTACACACAACCATACAATAGGATGGGATAGGATGACAGTTTTAAAATCTAATGCCACAGAGTGTAGGTAAAGATTGATAACAACAACGGAAGCTTTGTTTATCGAATCAACTGCAAATACTTGTAACAGGAATGATTCAACATTTATCCACCTGGATATCTGGGAAATTCTGCTACCCCTAGGACAAATAGGAGAGAGCAGAGAAAACTATAAAACTCAAGTTTCGAAGTCGTGTGATTATAATTGATGATATGATTATGACTAGAATAAATTTTGTTTGAAACCTTGCCATCCAGTAATCGATAATACTGTTTCACTCACTGTGTGATACATCTAATAAACAAACTACTATGGGATTACTTACTACCACAGTGCCCAAGTTTTACACATATATATTAATACCCTAATTCTTCATTGATATCTATCTATATTTGCTAATTGGTCATAATACCAAACTAACATTCAATAAATTGCACACAATAAAAAAGCAAAAATGATGCAGTAAAACACTACAGATAAACACAAAACTACTTTATGTGTGGATATAAAACTATTTTATGAAGCAGCAAACCAAGAAAAAAAATGAAAATTTGAATTACCAAATTGACCATCATGAGGATTAGTAAACACGATCATGTCGAATGGAGGTGTGCAGGACTGGAATAGACAGAATACAAAAATGTGAACGAATGGATCAGTTGAAAAAGTTATTATAATAATATTTTTTGAATGTGGTTGTGTTCTCTGAGCTGGATGGTTAATTTGCGCAGTTTTCACCGCCCCACCACAAGGCGACATCTTCAACGCATACTTCAATTTGTTGAAGTGAGCTTTTAGGTTTCTCCACGAGTTTATTAATCATCGCTCCTGGTGACCTTGGACGTGATTGGTTGTTTTTGTGTGTTTTCACATCTTCTAGGCTACTTGTAGTATTGGAAGTGATTGTTTCTTTAACTTGAACTTTGACCCTTTGTGTGTGAAGTTTCTTTTTTATCGGTTGATAAATTTTGTCTATCTCGATGTGTCTATTGATTGATGATTCACTGGAATACCAGATGGGCTTCTAAAAATTCTGTCACATTCTTGTTGTTCCCTCTGTGTAGTATTTGGGCGTTGTCCCAGTCGAATTGATGTTCGTGATTGTCTGCATGTAGTGATATGAGCTAGGGAGTGGATGTCATGTCTTTTGACGGCTAGCTTATGTTCGTGGATACGAAGACGAAGGGGACATTTACTTTGGTCAGTGTAGTGTTTTTCTTCGCAGTTGTTGCAATTTATTTTGTAGATGATGATGTTGGTTTTATCTTCTTTCTCTGTTGAGTCTTTTGGTTGACATAGAATTGAGTGAAGCGACTTTGTTGGTTTGTGTACGACGTCAATTCCTAAAGGTTTGAAGAGTCTTGTAGTGATTTCTGAGATATCTTTATATACGGTAAGGCGATTTTCTTTGTGCTTTCCTTGGGGCTTTTGCTTTGATAGGTTAGCTTGGGGGTATATGTCCTTTTTCTTTATTGATATTCACGGAATTTCATCAAAAGACATATACCCCCAAGCCAACCTATCAAATGCAAATTAACCATCCAGCTCAGAGAACACAACCACATCAAAACCATCCACCTGAGCTACAAATCTCCCCTATCATATCTAATAATAGACCACAGAGATGGCTTCAATAACACATTTTTACTCCCCTCTTTAACTGAACCCAAGATCGAGCATAATCTTTCATCTTCTCTTCGCCAAACAATCTCCTCTATGTCACTCACCCTTGCACAGACGACGACCTACTTGTTGCTTTCCATTGGGATTAATAATAATAACAATAACTTTTCCTTCACGTTCCCAGTGGAACATAGGGCTTCAAGATAGTGACTTGAAGTTTCTGTAGCAGTGTTCATTTTACAGGATGAGGTTGCTAGCCTCATACCCAACCTTACCTCTTTACCATCATTATTTCTAGCTTAGCGAGTTAAAGGAGTGCGTCGGCCGGAATCGAACTCCGGACCATGTGCACTGTCGGCGAGCGTCCTAACCGCTATGCCACCGACGCATTGGGATTACACTCGAACAATGGCCTGCATTGAGTGCAACGCCATTCACCGGCATTCTCAACACACGCCTAATTCTGGAACTTTCCTACCCATGTATAATTATAAATACACGAATGTACAGCTATCTCTAGTTGATAACTTCATCGAAAAGAAAATTTTCTTCTCTGCAGCCGTCTTTTTATTATTCCCTATGATGAAATGTGTATATTCCGTGGTTTTATTACAACTGAATAAAAAAAATATTCAAGTGTTGGTTTGTAGGGATATGATTGGTTTCAGGAGATGCTCACTAGCGACTGGCCATATTCAGGTAGGTAGTTACCTGGGTTCCAGTGGGAAGTCGTGACTAGTAGGGTACAGCGGGTCGGGTGTGAGGACAAATACTCGCCCCCGAAGACATTGGCTAGGGGTCGCGCTACGTCGTGAATTGGCAGAAGTTAGAATTCCAGGACCACTGGATCGGGTCCCAGTGGCTGAATGGTCTACCAGCTCGCCGCCTTGTAACCGGAAGGTCCTGGTTTCGAACCCTGGCGGTGGGTGCGTACTGATGAAGAGCCCCAAACTAGGACGAAACAGTTGCCCAGTACTCCATGCAGGTTTTCCAATGGTTCTCTAACTAATGTCAGCTCATGACGAAATCAAAAAAAAATATGTCGGTAACCTTAATGTACAAATTATAATAAATTCTCACCCATAAATATTGTAGAAATGATTTCGGATCACGTGGTCCAATTACAGTGAATATTAGAATTCGTACAGTAGGCCTGTTAAATTCAGCAAGAAAAATAATTGGATATTTTTAAAAAAATTATTAAAAAAAAAACACTGAAGAAATTACGTAACGACTACAATACACAACTCAATAAACATTAGGGTCTTATAAACAGACGACAATCAGCCAGCATAAATGGGAGGAACCTGAAAGAAACAACCTCCTTTACCTACCTACCCACCTGGGAAGCATCGTTTCAACTACAGATGGATGGAACTGACGGGGATATCAAAGCAAGGATCAACGGGAAAGCAAGACAAGCTTTCATTACTCTCACGTTTGTGTGGAGGTCAACAGTACTGCCCAGCATCAAAAATAACATCTGGATTTTCAACTCCAATGTGAAGTCAGTCAGTGCTAGTCACTATACGGATCAGAGACTTGGCGCATCTCAAACAAACTGCAATCCTTTATTAACAATTATCTATGAACAAGACACTACCAGGTTACGTTTATACTTCAAAGGTACAAGTGTTATCCTTGTAAAAATTATTTTATTCTTATTGACCACTTCAACTTTAGTTACAAATTATCATTGTCTAAATTGTTTTATTTTTCTTTAACAATCTGTTACGTAATCAATCTATGCACACGCTTATTCCTTAATTGCTCTTCATATTTCCAAAATTATGCATTATTCAATCCACTTGTTGTAACCATTTCCACCTTTTAATTGTATATAATTAATCTACGAGCTCGCCTTGTAACCAGAAGGTCCTGGGTCCGAACCCCGGTGGGTGCGTACTGCTGAGGAGTCCCAAACTAGGACGAAACAGCTGTCCAGTACTCCCAGGTTTTCCACTGGTTCTCTAACTGATGTCAGCTCATGATTAAATCCTCCACGCAATCAAATAAAATCCCTACAAAGCCAATACTTGATAATTAATTTTTCTTCGTTAATTATCACCCCATTGACTAATTATTGTTAACAAACATATCAGTGCCACTTGATGATTGGTAAACTGTTGTGTATTGTAATAAAAATGCAATACGTGTATATTAGAGTAGAGCCAGAGTGAGATGAGGATCTAATTGAAAAGTAAATATTTCTTCCCACTCAATCTTTCTCTTATCTAAATGTCTAAATAGTGGAATTGTAGACAGTTCAAGAAAGATGTATAAGTTATGATAAGCGCATGAAATAGAATATCAAATAGAATTAAGGAAATCTCCACAACAACAAATTAAGGAAAGCGTTTGAATCAAGTTCATACTTCTTCTGGATACTTAGGTTTAGCTTATTAGTGTAGATTCCAACAACCAGCCTCAGCAATATGTGGTGTATTACACCGACTCTTGAGATAAAATTAAGATTAGTCGGTTAGTAGTATATCGTAGATGACTTTGAAAGCCACCTTGTTAACAGCCTCCAAAGCCTCAGGATAGTCGGGGGTGGGTGTCTTGCGCTGCGGGCTGGCCACCCCTCCGTACACCTCTTGAAATACTCCCATATGACCGGGCGTCTTACATAGCCTCTCCTGAGGAAGTCCTAATCACTGCCTTCACGTGGCGGAGGTGTTTATTTCACCGAAGTGAGAGGGCAAAAGCAGATGCCCGGCGCTCTTCACCGGGTTGACTGTCTATTGGATGACAGTCTAGGGGAGATGGCTAAACCCTGATTCCAAACCTCCAACGACTAGCGTATGAAGCTTACCGGAGTTCACCGGGAGACGTATGGACAAAGAGCTTATTGGATGCCCTGGATGTCTGCCCCCATTCAAAAAGGCGTATGAACTGGACTCCGGTCACCGGCTGGCTTCCAATGGATAGTGGACTCCCTACTCCACTCCTACTGCCTTGTAGGTCACACTTGGTTGTGTAAAGGCTAGAGCTGCACTCCCAAACAAAAGGCCGAGCGATGCTGGGGACATCACTCGTACCCTATTCCCATGAAACTTCATCAACTCTCTTACAAACATTCGAGATGTTCATGAAGCCGGTTCATCCTCCCGTAGGAGATAGCCGAAGTAAAGAAGAAGAAGACCTTCTTAACATCAATTATAGATTCTGTATCTATGAGATGAGATAGGTATAGAAATATCAATGGATTTTCTTTGTCCCCCCCTACTTAACCCTTGAACAGGATGGCATTTATAAATCCGACGATAAACACGCCTAAATGTACAGCTTATATAATTGACTGATTTCACAGGCGCAATTAGGCAGTAGAGGAAATTATCGAAAAGGATATACTCTGGTCAAATTTTCTTTTCTCTTCTAAAATATACGGCATTAAAAAAAAAAAGAATAGAATAAAAAAGTACACTACTTACCCAACATTATACTTGGTCAAACTTTCACTATGAAACCAGCGAATTGCAGACTGAAAACAGATGAAAATGTAGAAAGAGTGGAATAACCACTTTTGACAGGAGGCGTAGGATATTCCATAAAAGACAACAGTTTTAAAAACATGCGGGATAAAATAAATCCATTTTAGAAGTATTGGCTTTGTAGGGATTTTGTTTCACCGGTTGGAGGATTTCATCCTGCGCCGATATCAGTTAGAGAACCACTGGAAAACTGACTGGGAGTACTGGACATGTGAGTCAGTAACTCCTCAAAGAAGATATTGTGAAGTGGTCGCGATATGTCATGAATTGACAGAAATTTGAATTCATGGACTGGATGTTGAATCAGGTCCCAGAGGCTTAATGGTCTGGGTTAGAACCTCGTTGGTGCGTACTGATGAAGAGTTCTGAACTAGGACGAAACAGCTATTCAGTACTTCCAGGTTTTCAAATGGTTCTCTAACTAATGTCAGCTGATGGTGAAATCGTTCAACAAATTTATTATACTAAAAGAGTTCATATATGTACCTTCCCCATATGCACACAAGATTCATAATTTTTGCGTTTAAGTCTAAAATATCCGTGTCATATGACAAAATTCAATAATACGCAAGAAAAATTAAAGATTCTGTCATCAACTAGGCTATAGAGTAAACTTATAAGATCCTGTCTGATAACTAGGTTACGTGCTAGTTAGCATTCCAACAGTCAATAAGAAGTATCTTCGGTTTTGAAGAAACTCATTTCCCTCCTGGAGTCTCAAACCTGCCTTCAGTCAGAAACGCTACCATCGAGCTATTCAAGCTGGTGATTGACCTCCTGAAGGATGGTAGTAGATAATTTGATTGGACACTAGGCGCTAATTAATATCATTAAGCCTAACCCTTCATGTGGTGCAGACTAATTTCCTGTTGACTGTCACCAACCATCTAACAACAATTTTGAGTGAGCCATGATGGCGAGTTATCAGAATAGAACTTTGGCAGTATGGTGGGTTTTTTTTCTTTATTCCTTCACGTTCCTGGTGGGAAAAATGAAGTCATCAACCTAGAGGCTTGAAGTTTCTGTAGCAGTGGTGTTTATCTTTCACAGGATCAAGTTGCTAGCCTCATGTCCAACCTTTCCTCTCTATCAAAGTTATTACTAGTTTAGCGAAGTAAAGGAGTGCGTCTGTGGCTCAGAATCGAACACCAAACCACCCTCTTGGTTCACTCACATGGTCTAATGGATGAGGCGTCTTCACTAGTCGTCGCTCTGTAATTATGTTTAGTTTTTACCTTTAATGATTACCTAGATTTCACTTTATTAATTAATTCACTATTATCAGTCTCACATGTTCCTTTGTGTACACATTTCCCCGCTTACTTCACACTTGTTAAGTGTGGACACTCACTCAACTGTCTCTCTTCTCAGCACTGAATAACAATTTTAACCCTATCAAATTTCTAGCCCTTTCCTCCTCTGTGTCGCTGAGTATTACATAATTCATAACTTTTATTTTTTTACTTCTAAAGCCACTTTTGGGTAATCATATCAATTACGTCATTCCCACCTGTATTACTCAACAATGAACTAATATACATTTTCGGTAAATAACAATAATAGTTTACTTCTTTTCTGTTTACTAACTTGTAAACTTTCCACAGTATGTGCACCATCCAGAAAGTAGGTTATATTCTTTCTGACTACAATTTGCCAACGACCTGGCCAACGGGCAGATAAAGCATCTTCAAAACAAAAACAAAAACATTAAAATGTTTAAATGTCAAATTTTTAAAAATTGGTGTAACAATTTGACGAAGGTTTCGCATAATGCCACTTGGCACGGCACAGTAGGACCTGTAGAAACATAGTCCCAACCAGTGTAACTCGTTGTATTGTATATGAAGCTTATTGATTTTAAGAGTGTAATTAGGCACTTGAAAATTTATCAGATTTAGACATGTGACAGTACCATTTACAAATTACTAAATTACAGACAAGTGATTATTTATTAAGTCCTGAAACCAATCAAATCCCTACAAACCAACACTTGAAGTGATTATTTAATTTATGTAAAGAGTAAACTGAATAAACGATAAAACTATAGGCATATATTGAGATATAAATCACTACAAAACATCATGTAGACTAAGTGGTGCTCGAGAGGAACAAATAGGACAAAATCAGTCAGGCTTTACATCAGGTAGAGAGGATGTATTGATCATATCTTCACCCTTCGATAGATTCTAGAACATAAGAATACTTACGGTTGGTCGGTGTCTAGAAGTCGTTGTATTTCTTGACCTACCTGAAGGTGGTATTCGAATCTGTCGACCGAGAGGTTCTCTGGCAATGCTTGGCTGTAAAGGGAATGATGAGAAAATACATTCCACTGATCAAGCCACCCACTCTACTCGAACTCATGCAGCCAGCCAGATGAGGGCTTACGGTGAGTTGTCATCTGAAGTGGTGACGACGAGTGGTGTCCGTCAGGGATGCCCACTATCCCCAATTCTATTCAATAATTGACTTAACCCTAACTCACTTCAGAGACTCAGGGATTGACTTGCTACCAGGGAATAATCTCGTTGACTTAGAAATTGCAGACGATATAGTCCTTCTAGGCGAGGACGCTGACAAAATGCAGAGTCTTCTGAACACCTTGAGCTGCAATCTACGAATGTTTGGCATGCGATTCGCTCCGACCAAATGTAAGATGATGTTACAGGACTGGACTACACTGACTCCTAGTTTAGAAATAGGGAATGAACTGGTAAAGCACGTTAACCGCTTCACTTATTTGGGAAATCGCATCAGCCAGACCCAGCGGGTTGATCTCTGACGAAATCTCAGCACGAATACGGAGAGCTCGTTCGGCGCTTGCAAGCTTACGCCATCTTTAGCTTGGTAGACGTGATATCCACATGGCTTTCAATCAAAGTGCTCAGCAGCACTTCACTCTGTCCTCCTTTACACATGACTGTGAGCGAGACATAGCCGTTGAAAGCAGAAGATACAAAAAGGCTGGTTAGCCATCTTTGATCATAGGCGTCTTCGTTTTATCTCAGGTGTGACGTGGTCAGTGTAATAGGGTGAGCAATATTGAGGTTAAGCTGGTGAGCAGGAGCTAGTTACATTCGGCGAGCGATAAGGCAAGTTCATCGTCGAATTTTTGAACACCTCCCATCTTGATTTGGTGCAAAGGTCCGAATAAAACTGGCTAAGCACACAGTTCAATGCAATACTAAGTCTTCTCGTCGATACTAGCTGAACATTAAGTTGATGCTTTAGAAAAAAAAACTTGTCGAGTCATCTGAAAGAGGAAAGTCTACGCTAAATGTCAATTATGAACCTATTCCAAACTTAATCCTTCCTTCTGCTGGTTAAGAAGAACCACACATCTATCTTCAATAATGCCTAACCATTTCAAAAGCTAAACAAAACCGACACAGAACTCTGAAAATCCCATCGATTGATTAAAATTTCAAAAAACAGGCAACTAGAAAAAATACTCGGATAAAAGCATAAAAAAAATATATTACCTTTTAAAATAGTTGAATCAGGCTTCAAAACCAATGTAGGTTGTAATCCTAAAAAGGTTTAACAAATGCTGTTAACAGAATTATATATATGCCCAAACCAATTACACTTTTAACAGTTTGACAAAATTTAGGCATTAGGTGTATGATATTTATTATAATAAAGGTTTTTTTTAATATTTCCTAATGAATGAATGAAAAGACAAAACGATGTTGTTGTTGTTTTTACTGACGTTTCGCTATTTCAAATGCTGCTGCTAATACCTCTATCTAAATAGTAATACTAAACCAGAATTTACAAAGAACTTAATCATCGTTCCTTAGCATGCCGTCATTTAGATATGATAGAGAAGATTGTAGCTCAGGTGGATAATTTTGATGTGGTTTTGTTCACTGAGCTGGATGGTTAGTTTGCGAAGCTTTCATCACCCTACTGGGTGACATCTTCAGCGCATACTTCAAATTGAAGAGTTTATCACAACCAATACTGGATTATTTGTATAAGAACTTCATGGAGTTATGGAGACTGATCAACTCAGTCTTAGAAATCAACTACAGAATATAGCAGAATATTTCAATAAGACAAGTGGTCAATATCTAACCGTATTGATGAGGTAAAGTGCAGTTAAAGACCGAATAGATTACCAATAAAAAAAGGTAAAGAAGTAAATAATAAGTTAGGTACAGCAGGTTGAAGATGAGGCAGTAACTCATCGAAGAAGACATTGCAAAATGATCACGCTATGTCGTGAATTTGCAGAAGTTAGAATTCAAAGACCATTAGATCGGGTCCGAGTGGCTCACTTGTTCACGAGGTCTTCTGATAACCAGAAGGTCCTCGTTTCGAACCCTGGCGGTGGGTGCGTACCGCCGAAGAGTCCGAAACTAGGTTGGCGAAACAGCTGCCCAGTACTCCATGCAGGTTTTCCAGTGGTTCTGTAACTGATGTCACCTTATAATGAAATCCTCTATGCAATCACACAAAACCCCTTCAAAACCAATATTTGAAAATTAAATAATAATAACAACATTGACTAACCGATACTTTTGCATGGACCGTTGATCCTGTTTGCCTTTTCAAACCAAAGACTGATAGCAGACAGACTGACACTAAGATTTAATAATTGATTATCTGTCAATTTCGTATTATTAAACATAGTCCTAGTTGATTCAATCATACTCCAGTCGGCTAGCACATCATCCAATTTTGGAGCAATATACAATGGACACTAGAGCGGAATACGCAAGATAAAGGAAGAGAGACATTCTCATGATATAAAAGAAATAAAGAATTCACCGAAGAAACTTCTCTTGTCGACAATATCATTTTGCACACCTGCACAATCGTATGTATATATTATTCTCTTTTGAGTACAGTTACTGTCGGTGATCACGCCAACCGACTATTGGAATTGTTTTGTTTTTAATTCAAACTTTTATGATCCCTAATCCAGCGGCCTGCTTAAAACTTAGGCGACCGAAAACAAGCTCTATCAATAATATATTTGATTTTTTGATTATAGCTTGATTCCACAATGTATTTTTGGCACAAATATGAAATTTTCATCATGTGATATCGTTATCCCAAATTTTGCAAGGGGATCATTGATATCAGGTGTGTGTCGGCAGGGGATCGAACCCCGGACCATGTGCATGGCTGGCGAGAGTCCTAACTGCTGTGCCACCGCATATATATCGTTTCCGTTTGTGTAAGTCTGGTAAAATATGCTATCAAATAGTATTATTTACTCTCGCAATAGTAATAATAATACTATTCGGTATAAAAGGGCGACGAATGCTAGGTAAAGAAGGGGGAAATCAAACGACGAGGCTGTGAAGTTACATCGACTAACGTGGTTAGGACATGTATTACGCATGCCTAACTATTATCTCCTTTGTCGACTACTGGCAATGTTAGCTGACATAGGGTCAAGTTTCAAAAGAGCCAGTGATGGTCAAACCAAAACATGGCACCAGTCAATGAAATCCACAAAAATTAGTTTAAGCCTACCACGTAGGAAGGTGTAAACTGGCTTCCTGGTTGGCGTCCTCGAGATGGCAGAAACCAATGACGGCTAGAGACAATCCGTGATATGGCTCAAAATCCTCGTTTTCAATGGCTAGAGCAGACGCATCCCCTCCTTATGACTTATAATATCCAATGAAACTATATAATTCTTCGATACTAATATTCTTTCTGCCTCATATCTCTCTTTACTGTCTCTATTTTCCGTTTCTTTTTACTTTCTTTTCTTGCTTTGTGTACTGCAAGGAGGGAGTGTAGTGACTCGAACTGCTGCACACCGGTGCAGTCAGTCATTTACTTTCACGAATATGTAAAATGTCTACAACCTGCTGATTTGCAAGTTTTTAGTAAACATGAGGTGACAACGTATCCCACCCAGCATTTGAGATAACTGTGTCCTTGAATTATAACCCTTGGTTGAAAATAAATGTACGCCTGAACTTTTTTACCATTGGCATTCATCCAAAGGTAAAAGGACTTTCGCCAACCATGCACATAGTATGGGGTTCAATCCCCTGCCGACGCACACCTGATATCTATGGTCGGCCTACAAAATTCGGGCTAACGATATCACAGGCTGAAAATTCCATACTTGTACCGAAAATACTGTGTGTTATCAAGCTGTAATCAAAAATAAATCAAATCAACCAGATATCGTCGTGTTTCTCTCGTAGAGAGACAAGGAAGAGATATCATCATAATGCTGGATTGCTTTGCGCTTCAAGTCAGACAACTTCCCCCTCCACATGATCTATTGTCTATTATTCTTCTATATGAAGATCCTGGACGAAGAGAAAATATCATACAATAAACTCCTCTGAAAATTCTATACATTACATAAACACTGTTCAGAATAAATTATTACTAATATTATTGTACTCATATATATATATATATATATATATATAAATCCTTTTTCATCGAGTCTACAGCCAAAACGTGCAATAGCAATGATTGATCACTCATACCGGAAATATGGAAAATGCTACTACCAATCAAGTCTTTGTTTGTCTGTTTTCGACATAAAACTTTGCACAAATGTGCGCCAGTTCAAGTCACCACACTCCCTCCTTGTAGCACACGAAGCAAGAGAATAAAGTACAAGAAAAGCATAATAGAGACAGTAAACAGAGGTGTGAGATAAAGGAAGAGTAATAACCAAGAACAAAACAGTTTCATTGAAAATCATAAGTCACAAGGAGTGGATGCATCTGCTCTAGTCATTGAGAACGATTTTGAACCATATCAGCAATTGTCTCTAACCATTGATTTTTACCGTCCCGAGGACCCCAACCAGGAAGCCAGTCTACACCTTCCTACGTAGCTGGCTGGCTTAAACTAACTGTTGTAGATTTCATTGACTGCTGCCATGTATTGATTTGACCTCCGCCGGCTCTTTTCCAGTCTGACCCTATATCAGCTAACATTGCCCATTGTCGAGGAAGGCGATGACTGGGCATACGTAACACATGTCCTAACCATCTCACTCAATCGATGTAATTTCATAACCTCGTCGATTGATTTCCCCTCCCTGTTTACCTAACACTCGACGCCTAACCTCAATATTGCTCACCTTATTATACCACTTCACACGGGAGATAGAACGCAGGCACCTATGATCAAAGACAGCTAATCTTTTCATGTCTTCCACTCTCAGTGGCCAGGTCTCACAGCTAGTCATAAAGGAGGACGGAGCGAACTCCTGAGCAGTACATCCGCCCTTTGCTCGATAGCCGGATATCACGTCTACGCCAGAGACGGAGTAAACTGGCATATGCGTAACTAGCCCTCTGCATCTGTGCTGAGATTTCGTCGGAGATCAACCCGTCGGCACTGGCTGATGATACTTCCCAAATAAGTGAAGCAGTTGAAGTGTTCTACCACTTCACTCCCTATTTCTAAACTAGGAGGCAGTGTAGTTCAGTCCTGTAACATCATCTTACAATCTTACCAATCAAGTCAAGCAATGAAAAATAATAATGGAATTATATAAACGAAGCTAGAAAGTTGTGTGAATAGTACCTTGATATGATTATGAGCAACAATAAGTTGTGCTCAAAACCCAGTTATCAATAAATATTACTTACTGTATAACACAACGTGAGACTATCAAAATAAAATTTTACCCACAACGGAATTATACTCTACCACCAAAGTGTCCAAGTTCTATTATTATATCAATGGTCCGAACTAAAGCAATGTTATCAGATACTGCATGGTCAGTATCTACAAAATATGCTGCAATATCAATGAAATAATACTTCTACTCTCCGCACCTTTGCTCAACCAAGCTGGAAGGTGCTCTCAAACACGGTGGGATATGTTCCTCGACGAAAGTCCTGTACATCTATCTCCGCAAGAGTAGGTGAACATATAAACACACATGGAATTAGACAATTGAGGTCACATTTCCTAAACATTAAGGTACTACAGTGGACGGCTAGAGCAGGTTATTTGTAAAGTGGCAGCAGAGAATGCTTTTCCCAATGATTGTTATTGCCCATCACTATATAATATATATACATATATTTCTGAACACCTTCCATGCTGGTTCGGCAAAGGTTCGAATAAAGCTGGCTATATGCAGCTCAATACTAGCTCGTTTCGGCAATACTGACTGGACATCAAGCTTTGAAAACTATTTACCATTCATCACCCAATCTCTCGCGCGATCTACGAGTACGACTTTGTACATAGAGGAGAGGTGGTCGGAATTCGTCTGAAGAAGCCAAATCTGTGTGTTTCATAAAAATGTATACCGCCCTTCTCTTTACCATGGCCGACTACATAATATGTATTATGATCGTAATACGTTTTTTTTATTAATTAGGAAAAGTCGGGAAATGACACATATTCTTGAGGAAATGATGTTGTTTGTGAATTGACTGAAACTCAGAGACGATCGTGCGTGTGTGTGAAGAGCACTAAGCTAGATTAAAATAGCTGTCTAGAAGTAATTCTAAGGCAATGCTGCATGCCCAGTAATTCACAAAGGGAAAAATCAGAGTATCCTTCGAAGTGAAGACAGGGGTAAAACAAGCATTGTGAGGAGCAGTTTAATTTGCCCACAACCACGCTCAACCTTCCGAACATCCAACACCTCCCTGAATGGGATATAGATACAGGTCTTCCATCCCTAATTGAGGTTACTAAAGCTGTCACCAATCTGAAACTAGGCAAAGCAGCGGGACCTGATAGAATGACTCCAGAGGTATTTAAGTACGGTGGAGACAGTTTACTGTCTGCATTAACTGAGGTACTAGGCAGCGTCTGGGAATCAGAAGTCCCATCGGGTTGGTGTAAGTCACTGATTATCCCTATATACAAGAAGGGAGACAAGTCTTCCTGTGATAATCACAGAGGGATTAGCTTGACTAATATAGTATCTAAAGTCTTAGGCTCAATAATCATGCATAGATTAAGTGGTTCTCGGGAGGCACAAACACGAGAGAGCCAGGCAGGCTTTAGACCAGGAAGAGGGTGTATTGATCATATCTTCACCCTCCGACAGGTTCTAGAACATAGGCATTCCTACCGGCGTCCAACAGTTATTATATTTCTTGACCTAAAGGCAGCATTCGACAGACAGACAGAAGCTGGCTGCCTACTATCCCAATGATTTTCCCCGGTTGTGGTACACTGGATAATGCAACAGACAGCGGACAGCAAGGAGACAGGCATACAATGGACCCACACAAAAACTTGGAGGAGCTGGACTTCGCCGATGTCATATATATGTCTGATTTCCTACAAACTGGAACAAATGCAAGTGAAAAACAACAAGTTGGCAAAAGAAGCAACAAAGATAAGTCCTCCTTCAAGTGAACATACAGATAACAGATGTAATGAAGATTGCTGGCCAAGAGCAACAGCAACAACACCAGACAACAATCAGTCAGCATAAATGGGAGGAATCTAAAAGAAGCAACCTCCTCCACCCAGGGGAAGAATCGTTTCAACTACAGGCGTACAGAACTAACGAGAATATAAAGGCGAAGATCGGGAAAGCAAGGCAAGCCTTCATTACTGTCAAGTCTGTGTGGAGATCAACAGAACTCAGCATGAAAAATAACATCCGGATTTTCAACTACAATATGTGAAGTCAGTGCTACTATACGGATCACAGACTCGGCACCGCGTCACGAACGCCACGTCGAACAAACTGTAGACCTTCGTCAACAGCTAGCTGTTTTCGCTCAATACTGATCAAGATCAGATGGTCAAACAGAAAAGATCAGCAACAGGGAGGGATATCTGGCAATGAGCGAACCAACTGGTAGGAAGAAATGGAGGCGACATCACACATAATGCAGGCCATCACTCGAGTAGAACCCGAGTGGGAAGAGGCGAGTCAGTTGGTCGTCAGTGCAAGGGTGACATGGAGAAGGCGGTAATTCGAAGAGGGGATGGAAGCATGTGGGTAGGTGGACGTGGAGCCAGGTGAAAACGTGAAAAACGGAGAACCTAACGCAATGGGGACGTGCGGCTGAAGCTTTATGTTCCTCTAGGAACTAAAGGAAACAATAATACAATAATAATTTGTGTTTGAAACATCATCAAGTAGATAAATAATACTGTATGACCACGTCTCACAACAAATTATTCTGTAATCGAATTATACTTTATCACAAAGAAATGAGTTTTACAGGTAATTACAAAAATATCTAACACTTACTCCTACTTGTTCAGCTTCTTTGACAAATATATTCATTGCCTCCTCCGACTGGTCATGACTAACTACTGCACTGGAACCGTGCTGTGCTTAGATGAATGTGATAAAACAGAAACAAAGGCATTAAGGAAATTATTATTATTATTATTATTATTATTATTACAGTCATGACAATGATAATAAAGATAGCAGTAATAGCGACAAATAATGGAAAGACTGCGTTTAGTTAACCTTGAAGACTTTCAACGACCCTAATCAATTTGTTTATAAGCCTAGTAGGTGTACCTTAGAAGCAACTGTGCCGTCTTATATCATAATATTGCCTTTAAGTTGGATAAAAATGTTAAATATCTTAGGTGTGCCTTCCTAGATTACACATTTACCTTTGACTCTATATCTAGGCTTGCTGTGACACAAGCACAGGCCTGGTTGAATTCTTATTTTCTTTTCTGGTAGAAAACAGTACGCTCCTTACAGTGGGAAGTCATCCACCGCTTCACTTACTCTATCTGGAGTTCCTCAACGAGCTATTCGTTCTTCCTACATGACGAGGGCTGTCTGCTAGCCAAAACTGCAGACACCAATTTACGTAAATGTTCACTTCCCAACTCAGGGGCACGAGAGAAAACAATAACAAAAATCGGGGGGAATATGGGGTCGCGCTATGTCATGAATTGCAGAAGTTAGAATTCATGGGCCATTGGATCGGGTCCCAGTGGCTTAATGGTATACCACCTCGCCATCTTGTAACCAGAAGGTCCTGAGTTCGAATCCCGGTGGGTGCGTACTGACGAAGAGTCCCAAACTAGGACGAAACAGCTGTCCAGTACTCCCAGGTTTTCCAATGGTTCTGTAACCAATGTCAGCTCATGATGAAATCCTGTAACACAGCATAACCTTGAGGAACCTACCAACCAATCACAGTGGAATAGACGTGTGCAAATACGATTCACAGATATATCATCGGACTGTCTAAGAAATGGCAACAAAGAGATGATAGAATAACCTTCAGCAGGAACACAACCAATCAGAAGACGCTGCTTCTCCGCTAACAATAATGCTAATAATAATTTACATAAAAATATATGAATATCTGTTGATTTTTTGAATAAACGATCTGCTTCATTATGGGTAAATTTTGTTTTGATAAAGTCTCACAGTGTGATACAGTAATACTGAATGATGACCACGTTTCGAGTAGTATTTTCCATATTTCCAGTATGAGTGATGAATCATTTCTATTGCATGTGTTGGGTGTAGATTCGATGAACAAGGATTCAGTAATCAACCGCTCTTTATCTCCACCTATCCAGATTACTTTTTTAGAATTTTAACCCTCTCCCACCCTATTGTGTGGTTGTGTGTTAATGCATGCATTGCAATTGCTGAGCTTTTTTCTAAATTACTTATCTTCTCTGGTGGGGTCAGCCATTCTTACCTTAGCTAAATTCTTATGTTCCGATAATCTAACTATCCCTGACCTACTAGTTTGACCTATGTAGTTGACCTCACGGTCATTGCAAGGTATTTCGTAAATTAAATTATTTTGTCTGATTGAGTCAACTGGGTCCTTTAACCCACAGAGCTTGGCCCTGAGTAAGTTTGTAGGTTCAAATGCCACCCCAATTCCTGCTTTATTAAGAATCCTGCGTAGGGTCTCAGATGTCCCTTCTTTATATGGTATAACTGTAGATGACTTATATTCTCTCTTATTTATGTTATCATTATTAGTTTCACGATTATTTTTCTTTTTCTTTTGACCTTTTTCAATCTTCTTAATGAATTTTAAAGGATAGTTAATTAACACCAACGCCTCTTCTATCTGTTTTATTTCATCATTTAGGTCTTTTTTTGTGCTACCTAAGCCTGCCTTAACAGTTAATGGATGAGATGAATTAAAGTTTAAGTATCTATTAGAATGAGTTGGTTTTCTATAAACACTAGCGTGTAGTTTGCCTTCTATTCGTTTTATTTTACAATCTAACATTCTCCTTGTTCATTTTGCGATTCATATGTGAATTTTATTCCCTCCACTAGTGAGTTTATGTGTGTCAAGAAGCTAGAGATAAGTTCTGTCTTTAACACTGTGAAAGTGTCATCCACATATCTCTACCATATTTTTGGAGTAGGATTAAACGTATTAAGAGCTATATTTTCCCAGCTATCCATAAATATATCTGCACGATAGGGGATATTGGTGATCCCATTGCTACACCTTCAGTTTGTCTATATATTTTGCCTTGGAATTTAAAAATTGTAGATTTGAGGCATAACTGAATTCCTAAAATAATTTCTTCAATTGGTAGTTTCGTCCTATAAGTGAGTTCAGGATCTGCAGTTAATTCTTTTTTAACTGCTTCTAAGGCCATGTTAATTGGTATGTTTGTGGTGAGAGCAGGCTGCTAGCCAATTGGTAGATATTAATCTACGTCAACGTCTAGGTCACTAATATTGGCCGTGAGAAAATATGAACAAGGCTGATTCAACAACCAATCACAGCAAACTTAAACGCGGGCAAATATGATTTGTAGATAGATGGCTCCATTTTCCGAGGAACTCGAAAACAACCAATCAGAAGACTGCGCTTGTCTACTTGACTAGGCTATAATAATGTATGTGAAATTTATATAAATACGTGTTGATTTCCATAATAAAACAATCTGTTGCCTGGCCCTTGTCTTCTGTTGTTACAGTAGTACTATTAGTATTGGTATTATTATTATTATCATTATTCATATTAATATTGTCGATCCCTAGAAGTACGATCTCACTTTTCACTTGCATAACTGGGAGATATGCAAGTGAAAAGCAACAAGCTGGCTGAAGAAGCATCCAGAGAAGATGGGACTATACTTTAGGTGAACATGGAGAAAACAGAGGAGATGAGGATTCATGGCCAACACTGACAGTATCATCAACAACAACAGACAACAATCAGTCAGCATGAATGGGAGGAATCTGAAAGAAACAACCTCATTTACCTATCTTCCTACGTACCTGGGAAGCATAGTGTCACCTACAAGCGGATGGAACTCATGAGGATATTATCAAAGACAGGATCATCGAGGAAACAAGGCAAGCTTCCATTAATTTCAATGTTGTGTGGATATCAACAGCACTCAGCATGAGAATGAAAATAAGATCCGGATTTTCAACTCCAATGTGAAGTCAGTCAGTGCTACTCAGTATACGGATCACAGACTTGGCGCAGCACAGCATCACGAACGCCATGTTCAACAAAGTTCACACCTTCATCCACAGATAGCTGTCTTCGCTCAATATCACTCAAGATCAGATGGTCGGCCAGAAATGATCAACAATGGTGAAGGATCTCTGGCAATGAGCGAACCAATCCAGCAGGAACCAATTGTGTAACAAATATGCAGGAAGAAATGGAGATGAATGGGCTGGGCATTCTCTCAGAAAACAAACCATCAAGTGAGTGACATCACCCGCAATGCAGACCATTACACGAGTGGAAGGCGAATGGAAAGCGGTAACTTGTTCATCAGTGTGACAGTGACATGGAGGAGGCGGTGATTCGAATAGATGAAAGCATGTTGGCAGACGTGGAGCCAGGAAGAGAATCGAACGCAATGGGGACATGCGGATGAAGCCTTCTGTTCATTTTTAAGCGCTTTCTACTTCCTACTATCAAAGCAAACCAAACTACACGACAATTTTATTAATTCATTCTTTCAGTAAAAAGAGAGAGATAAAAAAGAAAAAGGTCAATTAACAAGATATGCAAAAATCATAAAAATAATTCATATCAGTGAAGAAAATCAAAAAAGAGAAAAAGGAAGCATACCTTGAAAATTCCAGCTTTTCTCCATGCTATCTCACCAATACTATCGCCTAGAATATCAGTATGCTCAAGCGCCAAACTTGTCACAACAGTTACATAAGGTTGCCTAACATTTAACCAAAAAAAATATGAAACAAACAAACCCATTAAAAAAGTAACAAAAAATACAGTCAAAGTACTCAGATTTGATATTTTTCAATTGTAATTCATTTTTAATGAAAACTTATGCAATATTACAGATATGCTTGTCAATAACTCATTCGACTACGAGCCTTTTATGTACACTTTATATATAGATAGAGAGAGAGATTAGATATAAGATTGTATGAAACAGAATCAGACCGATGAGATCAGACCACAACCGACAGCTACTACCTTAATGTGATAGTCGAGTGATGACCCAACGAGCCACGCCAGTTAGTTGGAAACTAATGTTTCTGCAAGTTCTACAATACCAAAAAGGCTGTTCGAATAGTAGTTTTGTAACAACAGAAGACAAGGGCCAGGCAACAGATCGTACTGCTTCTCCTCTCTGGAAGATAGGGGTCAGAAAATATAGACCCTGAAAATTGTACATCCTGACTCACAACCTTGTAACAGTCGGTCATCGGCGATAAGATCTTAACACGGATACAACTCAGAAAACCAATTCAAACGAACCATGTATGACGCACCTCAATAATTTATTTCACACCTCTAGAAACACGCAAAGAATGATTTACGTGTCAGGGGGAAGTGGAGCTAGTGTTCATCAGGAAAGTGAAGAACCTTGCATTGTTTTTACTATTTGTAAATAACATCATCCTTTCTGTATTATTATATGCCCGCACTAGCAAGTACAAAAACTCATCCATACCCTACCTAGCTCGAGTTCTGTGCGATAAAGAAAGTGTTAGGCGGGAAACCTTTAACTTATTAAATAGTCAGTAGAACAAGGGGATCTCGTCTTTCCAACTCACATCATTTACAGGTACAACGTTTTCTCTCTACCTTTTTTCCCTTCTCTATTTATTTTTGTTATGTGCTGTTTTGTTTCTCTCTTCCTTACAAACTCTACTTAAAACATTCTTCTTCGTTCTTTCACACTCTGTATACCTCGACCATTTTGCTATTGCTTACGCCAGTAAATATGCTAGTAGTATGTACTTTTCTAACACCTTCAAACACTCTGTTTAAATTTTGGCTTTGCCACTGACTTGCTAATATGTTGTTGTCAAAACTGACTGAGATAACCTTAATCTATGTAGAACTATGTTTATTGTTAATGTACTAACTGGATGCAATATTGTAGTAAAATGCTGAGAATTCCATTCTGTATCACAAGTACTGATTTGGAATAAAGCTTACCTTATCTTATCTTAAATCTTACTATTTCCTTTAATTCCTAGAGGAACATAGGGCTTCAGCCGAACGTCTCCATTGCTTTCGGTTCTCTGCTAACGCCTTCACCTGGCTCCAAGTCTGCCCACATGCTTCCATCTCCTCTTCACATCAACTCCTCCAAGTCACCCGCGCACTGACGACCAACTCGCCGCTTCCCTTTCGGGTTCCACTCGAGTGGTGGTCTGTCTAGTAATGTCACTTGGTGGTTTGTTTCCTCAGAGTATGACCAGCTAATCCATCTCCATTTCTTCCTGCCTATTTGTTTCACAATCGGTTCCTTGTTGGTTCGCTCCCAGAGATCTTTGTTGCTGATCTTTTCTGGCCATCTGATCTTGAGTATCGAGCAAAGACAGCTGTTAATGAAGGTATGCAGTTTGTTTAAGATACTCTTTATAACTCGCTGACCAAGTCTCTGATCCGTATAGTAGCACTGACTTTACATTGGAGTTGAAAATCCGAATCTTATTTTTGATGCTGAGTGCTGTTGACCTCCACACAGACTTGAGAGTAATGAAAGCTTTTCTGCTTTTCCGATTCTGGCTTTGATATCCTCGTCAGTTCCGTCTGTAGTTGAAACGATGCTTCCAGGTAGGTGAAGGAGGTTGTTTCTTTCAGGTTCCCCTCATTCATGCTGATTGTTGTCTGTTAGTGTTTCTGTTGGCTAGGAATCTTTATCACCTCTGTTTTATATATGTTCACTTGAAGTCCTATCTTCTCTGGATGCTTCTTCAGTCAGCTTGTTGCTTTTCACTTGCATATCTTCCAGTTTGTGGGAAATCAGACACATATCATCGGCGAAGTCCAGATCCTCAAAGTTTTTTGTGAGGGTCCATTTTATGCCTGTTTCCTGTTGTCCACTGTCTGCTGCATTATCCAATTACTGCAATCAGGAAAATCATTGACGATAGTAGGCAGCCTCTGTCTGTCTGTCTGGATTCAACATAGAACTTGGCACCGAAGTGCAGCAGTTCGAGTTGCCACGTTCCAAATAGCACACAGAGGTAGACAAGAAGATGAGTGAAGAGAATCAATAGAGTTTGACAAGTATAAGAGTGAAACAGAATGGGTAATGGTAGAAAGGAATATGAAAGATTACAGAGACTGAATACATCTGCGCTGGCCATTGACAACGATTTTGAGCCATGTCACCTATTGTCTCCAGCCATTGATTCCTAGAGTCCCGAGGGCCCCAACCCGGGAGTCTGCATCTCCCTACCTGACTCAGTTTAACTGTCAAGGATTTCATGGATTGATGCCATGTTTTTGTTTGGCCACCACTGGCTCTTTTCCAACCTGAACCTATATCAGCTAGCAATGCCCGTCGGGGGAGGCGGTGGTTAGGCATGCGCAGCACGTGACCTAGCCATCTTAGTCTATGTAACTTTATAGCCTCGTCGATTGATTTTCCCTCTTTGCCCAACACTCTACGCCTAACGTCAACATTACTTATCTTGTGAAACCACCTAACGTGAGACAGAGATCGCAGACATCTATGATCGAAAGCAGTCAACCTTTTCATGTCTTCAACGCGTATTGGCCATGTTTCAGAGCCATAGAGAAGGACGGAGCGAACTGATGAGCAGTACACACGTCCCTTGGTTGATAACCGGATGTCACGCCTACGCCAGAGATGGTGTAAGTCAGCGAAAGCAGCTCGAGCTTTTCGGATCCGTGCTGAGATTTCATCGCCAATCAGTCCGTTGGTGCTAATACAACTTCCCAAGTAGGTGAAGTGGTCAACATGTTCTATCACTTCACTCCCTATCACTAAGTTAGGGGTTGACGTGGTCCAGTCCTGTAGCAGCATCTTACATTTTGTAGGGGCGAATCGCATGCCAAACATACGAAGATTGCTGCTCAAGGTGTTCAGAAGACTCTGCATTTTGTCAGCATCCTCCCCTAACAGGACTATGTCATCTGCATATTCTAAGTCCATAAGATTATTCCCTGGTAACAAGTCGATTCCTAAGTCACTACGTTCAGTTAAGGATACTTCCATTAGCATATCTATGATGAAGTTAAACAGAAATGGGGAAAGTGGACATCCCTGTCGGACACCACTGGTTGTTACCAATTCAGATGACAATTCCCCATAAGCCCTTACACGACTACGTGAGTTTGAATAGAGTGCCTTGATTAGTGCAATGTACTTTCTTGGCACTCCCTTCACAGTCAGACATTGCCATAGTACCTTTCGATCCACTGAGTCGGTAGGCAGCCAGCTTGTCTTACTCCCTCCTTTCTGTATTAGACATGTTTATTACTATTTGTCTGCCGTTTGTTCTGTGGTGAGAGATGGCCGTGAGAAAATATGAGCAAGGCTGATTCAACAACCAATCACAGCAGACTTAACGTGGCAAAATATGATTCGCAGATAGAAAACTCTATTTTCAAGGAATCCCGAAGCAACCAATCAGAAGCCTGCGTTTGTCTGCTTAACTTCTGATGAACAACCAATCAGAAGACTACGCTTGTCTACTTGCATAAGCTATGATAATGTATGTGAAATATATATAAATACGTGTTGATTTTCGTAATAAAACGATCTGTTGCCTGGCCCTTGTCTTTTGTTGTTACAGTTGAAGTCTTTTTAGAAGGCGTTACTCTACACACTACTTATACCTATTGATAACTGGAACACGTCACACAATATGTTGCACAGGCTTTGCATTACAGTCGTCATAGTGAATTCGAGTAATAGACGTTCACCTACTTACACACACAATAGACTATTAACTAACCATTAAACAGACAGCCCCAGTTTGCAGACTTAGTATACCAATGGGAATATCAACAGAACTACAGTAAATTGAAGTAGGTCAAATAGTGATCTGAAAATCTCAAATCAGTTTTATTCACTGTACAGCTTAAGCCATCGATCAGGTTGTAAGCACAGGTTTCATACAAAACGCATAGGTTATCTCTTTAACTGATGAATTATTTTCATTCATAATACAGACAGCTAAGAAAAGTGCGAGATAAGAAGGACACAGAAACACGTTTATCAGATGAATGCTTCTCGTTTGGCTTCTTTTCACTTATTCCCCCGAAAGAAGAACCAAACACAATTACATCAAGTGATGAACTAACTTACTCCATCTCTTGCTTAGTAGACGTGATATCCGGATGAGTATCTATCAAAGGACGTGTGTACGTGTGCTCAGCAGCACTTCGCCCTGTCCTCCTTTACAGCTGACTCTCAGCGAGACATAGCCATTGAAAGTGGAAGGTATGAAAAGCCTGGCTAGCTGTCTTTCATCTATGTACCTACATGCGTCTTATCTCCGTGTGAAGTGGTCGGTGTAATAGAGTGAGCAATATTAGGTTAGGGATCGACAGAATCTTAAGTAAAGAGGAGAAATCAATCCATGAGGTTGTGAAGTTACTTCGATTGAGAGAGATGGTTAGGACATGAGTTATGCATGCATGTCTAGCCATCGCCTTCCCCAACGACGGGAAATGTTAGCTGACTGACATAAGATGGATCAGGTTGGAAAAGAGCCATTTAGTGGTGGTCACACCAAAACACGACCACTTCAGTCAATGAAATCCGTAACAGTTAGCTGAAGCCAGCTACTTAGGGATGTGTAGAGTGGCTTCCTGGTAGTGGTCCTCGGGATGATAAAAATCAGAGGCTGGAGACAATGGCTGATATGCCTCAAAATCGTTTTCAATGGCTGGCGCAGATGTATTCACTTTTTGTGATTTATAATATTCAATAAAATTCTATTGTTCTTCCATATTACTATTCGCTCCGCCTCATATTTCTGTTTATTATCTCTGTTTTGAATCCCTCTCTACTCTTTTCTGTGGCTTTGTGAGCTACATGGCGTGTAGCAACTCGAACTGCTGCACATCTCTGCACAGTTCTATGTTGAAACCAGTCAGTCAGTTGAACCGTTGGGTCGGATCCCAGTGGCTAAATGGTCCGTGAGCTCACTTCATAACTGGAAGGTCCTGGGTTCGGATCCTGTTAGTGAATGAGTACTACTGTCGAGTCCCAAACTAGGACGAAGTTTTTCAGCGACCCTCTAGCTGATGTCATATCATGATCAAATCAAATTCGTCAACTATTACAGACTTGGTGAGCAGATATAAGAAATTATTTATCGCTGACATATCTAAACTGATTACATAACAAGCTTATTCAGTCGAACACAGAGAAAAATAAGCGTATAACACATAAGTGTAAAAACTGACTAATATATTACTCGACTATTAAGAAAATGTAAAAGACCGAAATTTTAAAGATATCCGATCAAGCTGTTAGCTAATGCGAACCAGAGTATAGTAAACTACGGGTCAGTTGATATGGATTACTTACCTTTCGCATACACAAATTACGGACATAATAGTAGTAAAATTATTCGATCACTTCACTACTGCTACAACGAGTTAATTTCATCAAAATATATTTAAAACTGAAACATTCGAATAAAAAAATACAATTGAAAATAACTAATTTTATACTCGGTGTATTCAACTCACTTAAAAATATTCGTATGATCATACCGCCCACCGATACCAACTTCAAAAATGCCAACATCCACCTACAAAAAGGCCAAGATATTAAAGCAGCAAATAGTTAGTTCCGTTATCCAGGGCGATGTTTTTTTCGCTAATGAAGCTATGGGCTACACGTATTGTATTATTACTCATGATACTAACCAGCTGCCTAGGCTGGAGTAGGGTGCGGGAGTGGCAGGACTCGAACCCGCGACTCACCTGGTGAAAATTGAGCCACCACATCTCCTCCACTCTTCTGCACTTTATAAATTATGGAAATCATCCAACTGGCAGCAAATATTTAAGTTTCATGGGAATGCAATTAAGGAAAAGTTGTCACTGAGTAATATGAAAGCTTCACAAATATTGATTTCTTTAAACTTTTAATTATTTGAATCATTTGAATAAGTGCGTCGGTAGCACAGCGGTAGAATGGTCGCAGACCATGCACATGTGGTTTGGCGTTCGATCTCCGATCACCTACACACTCCTTTACCTCGCTAAGACAGCTATGAGACTGGTAAAGAGGGAAGGTTGGGCATGAGGCTAGCGACTTCATCCCGTAAAAATAAATACCACTGCTATGGAAACCCTATGTTTCAACGGGAACGTAAAAGGAATGAAATAAAGCATCATTTGATTGGATGTTAGTTAGTAACTAGTGTAATGTTTCTAGTTCTTTGTTTGGTGCAGACTGAATTCTGCCAGTCAGGTTTACACTAAACGTGTCCAATACAGTCCTAGAGGAGGTATGTTGCAGGTCGTGGTAATGTCCTCTCTGACTGCACCACTAGATGAGGACACAGGATATAACTTCGTTTGTTCGAGGTTGCAGATACGCCTTGCAGGCTGAGGAGTGTCAACTAGGACGAAACCTAGATGAAGTAAGGCTTTTTTACATCATCATTTATTAAACTGTATGTTCATGCAATCTGAATCTAACTAAGTGAAGTGTATGTCTGGGATGAGAACGCAATAGTTTTACTTTTGAATTGTTGTTAATACCTTTCAGGAGATAAAATCGAATGCTACACCAAGATTCTCAACTGAAATTTCTCAAAATACTTCTAATTTACCTAAAAAGATGCTTCCATTTCAAAATAAGCATTATTAAACCGATTTTATATGAGAATGGTGAAATTCCACTTAAGTGGTACTGGTTTCAAGGTTGTGATTTGTCACTTGACAGTTGAGTTAGACCCTGTGGAGCAAGCTACGTTGGCCGTAGTCAGAGAACGCTTTCCACAGATGAATACGAGAACATATTTCAACAGCATGGTTTAAAAAGGACATTTGATCGACTCCTTTCGCTCTATCAACGCTGACCATAATTTTAAGATCATCATCTACCGAGATCAAGCTAACTTGACGCGTTTCATCCTCGTTACCCATTTCTATATACAGTGAAGACCTTAGCCATTCATGGATTTAAACTAGGCCTTTGTTTACAAAAGAAGTACATACAATCTCCAATTCTGCCTTGGCTCTCTTACAGTGTTGAATTCTATCGTATTAAACTTCACGCCATGTTATGTAACGGGGTTTTATATTAGCCTACTAACCCTATAATTATACACCCTCTCCAACATATTTACATCCTATGATTTATTCTATATATGACATTAATTGTTTTGCCACTTGATACTTGATATTTTATTATGATTATAATCACAAGCATCTTAATTGCATTTCATACTACTATTATTATTATTTTATCTATTTCAGCCTAGGTGGGAACACCATTATTCACTGGGAAATGCAAATGCATCCAGATGACGAGTCCAGAATAGGACGAAATGAGCATTGTGGATTCCACTGCTAGTTGCTATCAACTATTTCACTATTTACACTTTTGTTGAAATTTCCATACAGGATATAATTTCTGTGCGTCGGTAGCACAGTGGCTAGAACTCTCGCCGACCATGCACATGGTCCGACGTTCGATCCCCTGCCGACGAAGCACACCTGATATCTCTGGTCGGCCTGAAAAATTTGGGCTACCGGTATCACATGCTGAAAATTCCAGGTAAACAGGGAAATCAATCGATGAAGTCGTGAAGCTACAAAGACTGAGATGGTTAGGACATGTGTTACGTATGCCAAGCCATCGCCTCCCTCGACGAGCTATGTTAGCGGATGTAGGGTCAGGCTGGAAAAAAGCTAGCGGCGGTCAAACAAAAACTTGGCATCAGTCAATGAAATCCACAACAGTTGGTCTTAGCCACGTAGGAAGGTGTAGACTTCCAGGCTGGGGTCCTCGGGACGGCAAAAATCTATGGTTGGAAACAATTGGTGACATGGCTCGATATCGTTCTCAGTGGCGCAGATGCATCCACTCCCTGTGACTTATGATCTTCAATGAAATTGTTTTGTATTTCTTTATTACCCCTTTGTCTCACACCTCTGCTCACTGTTTCTATTATGCTTTTCTTGTACCTTCTTCTCTTGCTTCGCGTGCTACACGGAATGTGGCGACTTGAACTTCCGCACATTTGTGCAAAGTTCTATGTCGAAAACAGACAGACAGACATACATGTACTAAAAATACAGTGTGGCATCAAGTTGTAATCAAAATACAAAAAAATAAATAATATAAAAACCAAATATACGATTGTACAGGTTGATAATAAATACGATATTGAAAATTCTCTTTGCCGAATAATATGATCATAATAAGTCAAATTTTTTGGGCGGCAGGGGTTATTAACAACGGCATGATGAGGATAATTACACTAAAGAGAATGCAAATATAATTCTAGGAGAGACTATTTATTCAATCAAACAAAATCCCTACAAAACCAATACTTGAAGACTATTTATTCACTATTCACTATTTAAAACATAAATATAGTTATTTATTTTTATTTATTTAAACGCAGAAAAACTTGGAACAATATGGCACAAAGAAGATGCGCCACACTTGTGTGAGAACTGAGATACTGCCCGGGCGCCCAGACCGAAGAAGGTGGTTTTCTTATCGGACCATCCCCCAAGCCTTTGACTTGAAGTCTAACCCACGAATTGGCAGCAGAGTAGCGTCAGGAGCTACGTTCCCATAGTTGCCGGTGTCCAATATAGATTCATACGCCATTTGATCCGACTGGATTCTGGAGCCCATGTACCCTATGGTGACTGCTTTCAGTCTAACCGTTATTCAAACAACCTTCCTGACATGGTAGGACCTGCAGGAACATGAGTCCCAGACAGTTCAGCTTATTGGGGTTCACTGCGGTATTCACACCCGACCACCACGACAAAGTAGAAGTTGTCGACCGGGACAAAAACGTAGACTATTTGTGAAATTGAAAAGGAAGCGGTTCGAACCCCCATGGGCTGCGTACTGCTGAAGAGTCCCAAACTAGGACGAAACGGATGTCCAGTAATCCCAGGTTTTCCGGTGAGTTCTCTAACCAATGTCAACTCATGATGAAATCCTGTAACCAATCAATCAAATCCCTACAAATCAACACTTGAAAAACAACTAACACTGAAATTATATAATTTTATTCTAGTACACGTTAGCAACAACTCACTTTTTCATCAATGAATGCTTTACATGCCATTACAAAAATATAATGAAGAAACGATGGTACTGGTGTATCAGGTGAATTTTTCTAAAAATAAAAATGATCAAATAGGAATTTAAATTTTTAAAGACAAAACAGCTTAACAAAACTTATAGGAACTAAAGATGATATTAAATTAGAGCCTCGGTGGGAACATCATCCCTCATCCAGATGACGAGTCCCAAATGGGACAAAATGCGCATGCTGACTGGATTCCACTGCTAGTCACCATTCACCAATTAATTCATTTCTAATTACATGCCCAGACATCGTCAAAGCATCTGCACAATGAGCCAAAATATCAACCTGAGACCGAGCAATTCGGTCCAATCAATCGACGGAAAAATTTAAAATTTAATATGACACATTGCACAAGAGATGGCTCTCGTTTCCCAAGTGGTTCAGGAGATAAAGCTTTGGCGTTTGAAACTACGGACACTGGGTTTGAATGTCGTTGGTAACATCATCACTCACTGACGAATGCATGTATATCCAGATGACGAGCCCGAATAAGACGAAATACGCATCCTGGATTCCACTGCTAGACACACCACCCACCAATAATACCAGTTAACTCGATGTTTCACGAAAAAATTCTGTAAAACAGACTGTTCATTAGCAGATAGAGAACTAGAACAAGAATTATGCAGCAGGAGTTTTAATGACACAATAAAAACGGATTTTCAAGTATTGGTTTGCACGGATTCGATTTCATGTGATTGATTGGTTACAGGATTGGTTTCATGAGCTGACATCTGTTAGAGAACTATCGGAAAACCACCACCAGAGTACTGGACAACTGCTGTTTCGTCAGCCTAGTTTCCAACTCTGCATCAACAGTACTCATCCACTCACGGGATTCGAACCTAAGACCTTCCGGTTACACGGTGGCGAGCTGATAGACCATTCAGCCACTGGGACTCGATCCGATCCAATGGCCATCTTATGAATTCGAACTTCTGCCAATTCTAGTATATGTTCCAATCATTTTATTAGCTTTAAGGTGATAATAGATAAATCTAACAGATGAGTCTTGAAAAGAGAATGCGCACACCAACACCCGAATAACAATTCGATGCTCGCTAGCAACTGGATCTATACAGGTAAGTAATTACCCAGGTTCTAGTGAGAAGCCATGACTAGTGCGGTACAGCATGTGGAGTGTGAGAATAAATACTCGCCAGAGATGACATTGACTAGTTTCAGTCGCGGTAAATCATAAGTTCACAGAGGCTGGAATTCGTGGGCTGACCAATGAATAGGGTCAGGTCTCATTGGCTTTATAGTCTACAAGTTCACCTTGTAACCGGATGGTTCTGGGTTAGAACTCCCTGTAATGGGACGATACAGCTGTCTAGTACTCCTTGCAGGTTGTCCACTGGTTCTCTAACCGATGTCAGCTTATGATGTAATGCAAAAACGGATTTGTCTGACTTATTTGATTGCTTAAAATTTACATCAAAACAGATACTTACTGTGAATTCTTTAAGTGTATCATGTACACTCCAAAACACACTTGCAAAATGATCACGAGATATAGGCTTTCCGTTAATTCGTATTCTTTCTTCAATATTTACAAGATGAGGAGAGCTATGAAGAAAAAGATTAACGACGAATACTTAGTAATGAATACATTTCATGAGTTGTGAATTCATTTTGTTAGCAGTATATGGAAGATGAGCCGATGAGGTATATGGAAGGGAGCCACAAAAAAATTGGAGGATCTGGACTTCGCCGATGATATATGTCTGATTTCCCACAAACTGGAAGATATGCAAGTGAAAAGCAACAAGCTGACTGAAGAAGCATCCAAAGAAGATAGGACTTCAAGTGAACATATATAAAACAGAGGTGATAAAGATTCCTAGCCAAATCAACGGCAACAACAACAGATGACAATCAGTCAGCATAAGTCGGAGGAACATGAAAGAAACAACCTCCTTTACCTACCTGGGAAGCATCGTTTCAACTACAGATGGACGGAACTGACGAGGATATCAAAGCGAGGATTACCGGGAAAGTAAGACAAGCTTTCATTACTCTCAAGTCTGTGTGGAGGTCAACAGCACTCAGCATGAAAATGGAAATAAGATTCGGATTTTGAACTCCAATGTGAAGTCAGTGCTACTCACTATACGGATGAGAGACTTGGCGCGTCATATAGAGCATCTCCAACAAACTTCAGACCTTCATTAACAGTTGTCTTCACTCAATACTCAAGATCAGATGGCCAGAAAAGATCAGCAACAGGGATCTCTGGGAGCGAACCAACCAGGAACCGATTGTGAAACAAATAGGCAGGAAGAAATGGAGATGGATTAGCTGGTCATACTTTAAGGAAACAAACCACCAAGTGACATCACTAGACAGGCCACCACTCGAGTGGAACCCGAAAGGAAAACGGCGAGTTGGCCGTCAGTGCGCGGGTGATTTGGAGGAGTTGATGTGAAGAGGAGATGAAAGCATATTGGCAGACATGGAGCAGGTGAAAACTTTAGCAGAGAACGGAACGCAATGGAGACGTTCGGCTGAAGCCCTATATTCCTCTAGGAATTAAAGGAAATAATATATACATATATATGTATTCGCTAAAGCTTTAGTACAACAGCCTGTGAACCGAACACAATAAATTTGCTGAATTCAAAAACATATTTAAATATTTGTCATTATTATATGCATTTTAAAACCAGAGTGATCAATTATTATTGATGTATAGCCTTTGTGTCATATTACTTTCACCTAATGTATTAATAACTATAAGTGATGCGGGAAATCAACTGCACTCGGCACTAAAAAGAATAAAATTCGGATTTTCAACACTAATACGATAACATTTCTTCTAATATAGACCAGAAACTTGACCATTGTGTCACGAAAAGCATTGTGAACAGATTGTATTAGCAGTATATTGAAGATTAAATGGCCGGTCAGAAAGAATTAGCAACAAGAAACTCTGAAGAAGAACCAATCGAGAACCTATTGCTTACAAAAAAAATATATCCCGAAAAGGAAATGGAGACGGATCGGACACACGCTGAAGAGATCGTTGGGTGACATCGTGCACCAGGCCATCGGTTGAGTGGGAGCCGGATAGTAAACGACCAATGGGGTATCCAAGGGTGAAATGAAGATAGTGTGAGGGGGGCGTGAAAGCTAATGGCCAATCGTGGGATCAGCTGGAGAGAACTGCAGAGAACATAGTGAAATGATGCTATGGTGTTGAGACATTATGTTCCATTTAGAAACATAGGGAACAATAACAATAATATAAAATATAATTTAACGGGCAGTAAGAATAACCCAGTCATCTCTCCTGGATAAAATTTTGAACAAAGAGGCTAAAAGTGATGCACTCTATTTTCCCATCTTAAGTGGTCGGTGTCATAGGGTGAGCAATATTGAGGTGGTTAGGCATCGGTCGAGTGCTAGGTAAGCAGGGAGGGGAAATCAATCGACGAGGCTGTGAAGTTGTACTGATTGAGATGGTTGTAACATATGTAATGCGTGCATGCCTAGCCATCGTTTTCCTCAACAACGGACAATGTTAGCTGACAAAGGGTCAGGTTAGAAAAGAGCCAGATAGTGGTGGTCAAATCAAAACATAACGGCACCAGTCCATGAAATCCACAACAGTTAGTTCAAGCCAGTCACGTAGGAAGGTGTATACTGGCTTCCTGAGTGGTTGGGGTACTCAGGACGGTGAAAACCAACCACGGTTGGAGACAATTGGTGATATGGCTCAAAATCCTCGTTCTCAATGGCTGGTGCGGATGCATCCCCTCCTTGTGTCTTATAATATTCAATGAAACTATATTGTTCTTCGATACAAATATTCTTTCTGCCTCATATCTCTGTTTAATGCCTCTATTTTGCGTTTCTTTTTACTTTCTTTTCTTGCTTTGTGTACTACACGGAGGGAGTGTGGTGACTCGAACTGTTGCACATCGGTGCAAAGTTCCATGTTGAAACCAGTCGGTCAGTCAGTCGTTCAGAACATGAATACTCACACTAAAAAAACAATACTCACAGGGTTCCTAGCCCATGTGAAGACATGTGAAATAAACCTAATGATGAAATATTATTAAAACATACATATTTATATACTGTAGATACATATATAATTATCACTAACCTTAAAAAACCTGTACGTAGTCCAGACTGGCGTAAAACATTTTCAATCACTGAACAAACTGAACCTTTTCCTTTCGAGCCTGTAACGTGTATAACACGTAAATCATTGAGATGACAATCCTAAAGGGATATAAACACACTACTCATTTTGAATTCTAAGATAGAATACTTCTATTCCCATAGCATAACAATATATTGAAGATAGTCCGTGTCTTTGTTGTCTTAGAAACTTTGGATTTGAGCATATTAAATAATGATTTGATGATTTAATACACTTATTCAATTCATTTAAAGCATCCTGTATTATATATGTATGTATCTTTATCTTCCTCAGGAAGAATAAAAACATACTTGATAAGATCGTGTGAAATGTGGAAATATTTTACGCAAACTCATTGAATAGCAACAGTTCTTTCAGTTATACTTGCTATTTGATAAAAAAGAAAAGAAGTTCAAGAAAGGTTAGGAGAAGGATTACACTTAAAACAACGAAAATAATAATAATATATGTATCTAAGAAAGCAACACAATGTCAATATACCGCTTAAGTTTGAAAGAATGAAGTGGTAATGTGTATAGCCTTAGTATTCTTGGACTTGAACAGGTAATTATTTAATTTCTGATTGTACAAAACCCTACAAATTGAATGCATTTGATTCAGTAAAGATATCATTTATTTCCTGAATACCGATATCCTCGTTCTACCTGGCGAAATGGTCGACTACAAGAATAATATGGATATTGGTATATATAGGAGCTAAAAACGGTCTAACAAAATCAATTTCTAGTAAGTCATTTGATGACCCACTATTATTATAGAGTTTAACTGGTCTTCTGATGCACACTGATAAGAGGGTTTAATGATATATATGATCCAACAAAAATTCACAAGGTTCCCTGATATTTTCAAGTATTGGTTTTGTAGAGATTTTGTTTCATTGGATGGATGATTTCATCATGAGCTAATATCAGTTAGAGAACCTCCGGAAAACCACCTGGAAGTGTACTGGCCAATCAGCTGTTTGGTCATTCTAGTTTGAGACTCTTTGTCAGTACGCACTCAACACCAGGATCCGAGCCCTGGTCCGACCTTCTGGTTACAAGGCGAGCTCGTAGACAGTTGAGCCACTCGGACCCGATTCAATGGCCCATGAATTCTCTGACATTGTTTTTTTCATTGTGTAGGGAATTCAAAAACGAGAATAAGAAAAACTGGCTCAAACACAACTCAGACTGTGTACATGGGGCTGTGTTGCTTGTTTACACACACACACGGCTTTCCCAATATAATTTACTGCTCTCATTAATGCTGGCTGGTCATACTCTCTGTGAGTAATTTCGTGAACCAATGACAATTTCTTGACAAAGGGTTTGAAATTTAAACCAGACATGTGGGCATGATTTAAAACAGTTGGCATCCTCGTCTAAAAAATGCCTATGAATACCTTTGTCACGCAACAATATCTCCGCATTTTTAAATTCCGATACCAATTACAAGCTTTTGGCTATCGAAAACCATATACTGACTGAGTAGGATGTCAAGTAACTAACTAGTTACAAAATTACTGATGATTGTTTTACGGCGTTTTTTGCGCAGTAGTACAGCTTGAAACTTTCAATATCACAAAAACATCTTCCTGGAATCAAATAGCTTCGATGCCGTTAATACCGGCATTTGTATCTATAATCAAAAGACCTGTCTAGCCTCATAAATTTCCTTTTAAAATAGTTCAAACGGCAAATTCAGAGGAGAAATTAACATGAAACTATTTGCGCTATTCCGACAAGTTTACAACATCAAAAAACATCCTTTCGTAATCACTTAAGCTATATGAAGAAATTCAGTAAATTATAAAGCTGTTTTTTCCCACTCGAAATACAGAACATGATAACTTGTGAAAAACCTGTCTGTGGCCTCAAAGTACTCGTCATGCTGCTAAGCTATTTTTATACCTCGAAACGACTTTTCCTAAACCGCACTCTAAACAATTTGTCAACATTCTAGGTGCTACTAAAGATCAAAGTGGTGACAGAAAGATGAGCAAAAATAGGGTGTAAATATATTTATGTGCTCCCAAGTGTATTGGATAGCCAAGTTACTAAAGCATTTTAATGAATACAAGAAGTAACTCCGTGCATTTCAATCTCATATATTTAGAAGACACCTGGATTCAACTGCTTAGGTAACTATATCAGGCACAAATAACGGCTGTCAGCAGTCAACAATAAAAATGTCTCCATTCAATAGCACAGCTCCACTAGGGGAAAAACTATTAGATGAATTCCATTCTGTATCACAAGTACTGATTTGGAATAAAGCTTATCTTATCTTAAAAAAAAAGAACCAAATCCTTGTCCCAAACACTAATATTAGGAGGGGAGAACACTGATTTTAAGCTAAAGCAAAGGAAGAGACATTTGTGTTAACAAAAAGTCGACTGGCTGCATCTCTGTTAACGGAAGTTCATCATTAGAACGAGAATTATAATTGCTAACCCCCCCCCAAACTACTTATTATTAAACCTTAGCAGCATTTGAAAAAGCTCCAAAAATGACAGCTGTTTAACTGATAACTGAAGTAATATTATATGCTGTTTGCGTGCAGACGAGTTTAAACAAAATGCCAGTTAATCAGTAAGCGATTCTGTCCCATTTATACTCTGGAAGGAGTAAAAGTATTGCAGCATTACAAGTGACAGCAAAGTAAACTACAACTAATGGAAGTCATAGTCTCATCGATGAAAAAACATTATTCCTAATAGATAAATAATTTTCTTCGTATCCGATGACAAACGAAACGTGAAATAAACATATGACGATACTAACTGGACGAGCATATCTCAGTAGACAATTGTAGCCTTAAACCAGTGACACAAATTTAAAGTCTGGCACGTACACAGAACAGTTAACAAAGAAAACATGTGTCTGTTTACGTATCTTTGTTCGTTAGAATAATCCTTGAGACAGCTTCCAAAGTCTTTTGACAGCTAATACCATGAAAAAAAATGTAAATGTATGGAAGAATTCGGAAAAAAACAACGAAATTCACCACTCTTAGAAAACAGACGTTCTATTCACAGACAGTCAGTGGCACAGTGGTTAGGACTCTCGCCGACCATGCACATGGTCCGAAGTTCGATCCCTTACCGATGCACACCTGAAATCTATGGTCGGTCTGCAAAATTTGGGCTACCGATATCACATGCTGAAAATTCCATACCTGTACCAAAAAATACGGTGTGGAATCAAGCTGTAATCAAAACAAAAAATAGTCAATCTATTATTCACCCGATTTTATACAGACGGCTAAGCAATAATGATAATTTTTCGAGTTAGATGTACGAACATCCTTTCTAAACAAGACAGAAAATTTGCAAGCAACGAGAGCTCGATCAGGAAACTAAATCCCTATTTGAGGAAGAACTAGCTAAACGCATATCTGAGTTCGACAGCTGTGCTCACCCTGGAGAAGCCTGGAAGAATATTCAGTCAGCTATAGATACAGCTGTAAAAGCTGTGAATAAGGCAAATCCAAAGGTGAGTAAAAACCACTGGATTTCGACTGCCTCATCCGAACTGATAGATGCTAGAAGACTTATTCCGGCGAGCTCCGAATTCAATGAGGAGCGAAAGCTGCACAAAAGGAAACTTACTAAAAGTCTCCGCAAGGACCGTGAACAGTGGTGGGTGACAAAGGCGAAAGAGATGGAAAAAGCATTGGCGATAGGCAACACTAGGCAACTCTTTAGACTCATCACAGAATCGGGCGGGAGAAGGCAATTCATAAGTGGCGGGAGTGATAAGTATGCTACTGAGGCACACAAAACAACGAAGAACGAACAAAAACAGGCCGCGTGTGACCGGCCACAAGCAGTTGTCCCCTGGGCTCTGCGGTCACGCAACCAACTTCCACGGTGTGGGCAGCCGGGAAGTAACAATCGCCCTCACAATCCAAAGGTGAGGTTACAAAAGCTATCAGTAATTTGAAACGAGGCAAAGCGGCAGGACCCGACGGAATTATTCCGGAGGTGTTTAAATATGGGGGTGACATACTAGTTTGTAGATTAACTGAGGTACTAGGCAAAGTCTGGGAATCAGAGACAGTTCCATCAGACTGGGGTAAGTCACTTATTATACCGATATTCAAGAAGGGAAACAAGTCCTCGTGTGATAATCATAGGGGGATCAGCCTAACGAACATAGTCTCTAAAATCCTAGGCTCAGTAATCATGCATAGACTAAGCAGAACTCGGGAGGAACAGACAAGGGAAAATCAAGCAGGCTTTAGACCAGGTAGAGGGTGCATAGATCATATCTTCACTCTTCGACAGATTCTAGAACATAGACACACTTTTCGGCGTCCAACAATTGTCATATTTCTTGACTTGAAGGCGGCCTTCGACTCCGTGGATCGAAAGGTACTATGGCAATGTCTGACTGTGAAGGGAGTGCCAAGAAAGTACATTGCACTAATCAAGGCACTCTATTCAAACTCACGTAGTCGTGTAAGGGCTTATGGGGAATTGTCATCTGAATTGGTAACAACCAGTGGTGTCCGACAGGGATGTCCACTTTCCCCATTTCTGTTTAACTTCATCATAGATATGCTAATGGAAGTATCCTTAACTGAACGTAGTGACTTAGGAATCGACTTGTTACCAGGGAATAATCTTATGGACTTAGAATATGCAGATGACATAGTCCTGTTAGGGGAGGATGCTGACAAAATGCAGAGTCTTCTGAACACCTTGAGCAGCAATCTTCGTATGTTTGGCATGCGATTCGCCCCTGCAAAATGTAAGATGCTGCTACAGGACTGGACCACGTCAACCCCTAACTTAGTGATAGGGAGTGAAGTGATAGAACATGTTGACCACTTCACCTACTTGGGAAGTTGTATTAGCACCAACGGACTGATTGGCGATGAAATCTCAGCACGGATCCGAAAAGCTCGAGCTGCTTTCGCTGACTTACACCATCTCTGGCGTAGGCGTGACATCCGGTTATCAACCAAGGGACGTGTGTACTGCTCATCAGTTCGCTCCGTCCTTCTCTATGGCTCTGAAACATGGCCAATACGCGTTGAAGACATGAAAAGGTTGACTGCTTTCGATCATAGATGTCTGCGATCTCTGTCTCACGTTAGGTGGTTTCACAAGATAAGTAATGTTGACGTTAGGCGTAGAGTGTTGGGCAAAGAGGGAAAATCAATCGACGAGGCTATAAAGTTACATAGACTAAGATGGCTAGGTCACGTGCTGCGCATGCCTAACCACCGCCTCCCCCGACGGGCATTGCTAGCTGATATAGGTTCAGGTTGGAAAAGAGCCAGTGGTGGCCAAACAAAAACATGGCATCAATCCATGAAATCCTTGACAGTTAAACTGAGTCAGGTAGGGAGATGCAGACTTCCGGGTTGGGGCCCTCGGGACTCTAGGAATCAATGGCTGGAGACAATAGGTGACATGGCTCAAAATCGTTGTCAATGGCCAGCGCAGATGTATTCAGTCTCTGTAATCTTTCATATTCCTTTCTACCATTACCCATTCTGTTTCACTCTTATACTTGTCAAACTCTATTAATTCTCTTCACTCATCTTCTTGTCTACCTCTGTGGGCTATTTGGAACGTGGCAACTCGAACTGCTGCACTTCGGTGCCAAGTTCTATGTTGAATCCAGACAGACAGAAGCAACGAGAGACGGTATATGAATGATAAAAGATAAGAGAAATCTACGGTACAATCTCAAGATACTTTCGACGTCCGCCATTAATACAACATACACTCATGAATGAATATATCTTTCTCTTCATATATACGGCAAAGTTAAACTATAATAGCCCAAACTACAGTGATCTTGGACGACCAATCAGAATCCAGATGCAAAAAGGTTTCTGTAATCGTTGAAAATTACACTAAAGTATATTGCAAACATCACATTACACTGTATAATTTTAGCTTATGTGTTGTGAGAATGTCGCCCAGTCACTACAAAAATGATCTATAGACAAATTTTACCATGCGCAATGTATACGTTGATCCAGGTGACTGTAGGTCACAGTGCTTTGAGATTTATTAACATTTCTGACACTATTCTTCAACCTATTCAGAATTCTAACCATAATCCTAAACCTAACTTTAACCCTAGATCCTAAACCTTAATATAAAAGCCATAAACCTACCTAGCAGTATAGATTTACATAAAAAGTACCTAGTATGTAGAATACTGTATTTACCCTCTTCAAGTCCAAACACCAGACATGATTTGATTTGGAATGACATTTCATAGCAATCTCTAGTTCGAATCGGCTTTTGGACTTCGGCTATGATACTTTAACTTCGCCATATTTTCATCTAGGATTTGCAAGGTAAATACTTTCTACAAATAATAGGGAAAATCGACAGGTTTTCGCTAGAAATTATTTCCTAGCAACTTGATAACGCAACAAAAGGACCCCATGCCGATGAACGATGATTAATTTGTTACATATAGATTGAGATTTCGTAAATTCTGGTTTAATAATACTCTGATAAAGCTATTAGCATAAAATAGAGAAACGTCAGTAAAAACAATATAGCTTTGCTTTTCATTCATTGAGAAATACAAAATAACTTTACTATAATGAATACCATATGCTCAGTGTCCAAATTTTTTTTCAAACAGTTAAATGTGAACTTGGTTTGTACATATACAACCAAATTTAACTTTATAATGTGTTGGTGATGACACTCAGTGCTACCATAACACAAAAATAATGATAGTAAATAGTGGACATAGAAAGATTCAGCTAAGAAGTTAAGGAGAGGATACACTCGTTATTCTCAATATAATTTCTATAAAGTGCAATGTATTTAGAAATGTTTTTAACTTTCTGCTAGCTTTACATAACTTAATCTGTTATTTTAATATAAGTGCAACGAGACAACGTTTATAGGAGTATATTCCTGATTATAATTAGAGGAAATTACATAGTGGTATGTAGTTTCACAACTGAGAAGTCACAACCCACGTTATAACAGCTGTTTTCCTACCATTTGAATAGTTGCTTCATATTCTGCGAAACATGTTTCAATATTTCATGAACTGTGAACTAATAAATTTCTTTTGCTCACTTCTTCCTGTTGACCAGTGATTGAAAGTACTTAAAAGATTTCTACACATTTAATTTTAACAGATTTAGAGTAAACGTGGTTGTCAGAGGTCGTATGTTGATTTATAAGGTTGTTTGGAATACATACTAGCACAGTTGTGCTTTTGAGATAAGCAGAGTGTAATTTGGTTTTGCATATATACCACATGCTGCAAATGTTTCTCATTTTTGGGACTGTCAGATATGTTTCACGATGTACTTCGTTCAGTCTTGAATTGAAGTTCTCTTCTGAAATACGGTATTATTCCCTTCATTTTTCCAGCCATTGTATTGTGATAAAAACGATCTTTTCACTATATCTTGTATCTCCTTGTGCAAACAAGCACAGTTTCAATACCCGTGAATAAAAGATAATTTGATCTACACTTTGTAAATTTGAAGAAGTCCTCCTTCTTGATTCTTTGCAACAAATATGTGAGCTTAATAACCGGGTGACTATGCCTGGCTAAGTCTACATAGTTCCCCTTCTTGATGACACAAGCATGACCGTTGTGAGTGTCACTGTATAGCACTGGTAAAAGCAGTCGTTGTGTCAAGAAGCATAACAGCCTTGGCACTGATCTGATTATATGCTAAGCATCGCGATGCCAACAGGATGACGAAGGTTTTTTCTGGTCATTAGTAACGTCGAAGGATTAAGTAGATTTACGGGAAATCTCTCCAGAAACTGATGTGGAGGTTTGTGATTTCTACCTTGTTACACGTATTTTATGATCACCCTGGCATCTGGATTGAACTGAACTTATATAATGCTGCCATTCTGTCAATCGTTGATACTTCACACAGATGTTATTCGGTGATTCCGTCAAATCTAGTTCCAAAAGGTTTAGCAAGCACATTCCGATATCAGCAAATTTAGATGACTCAACGCTTCAAACGGTTACTTCTGCTTAAATTAGTCGCACAACAAAAAATTCAATTTTAATCGTTCATATTCACGGTTGATAGTACAAGTGAACGTGTGAAAATCGCCATTCTCATCCATGGCTAGATTTCATGGTGATATCGAGAAGTGGAAAGTGACTAGTAATCACAGAAATTTCATCGTAATATCCTCATTGTGGTGTCAAAGGTGCGATCATATGGCCTTTGTGGTAGAACTACATTTTCATATTGGCCGAATTCAGATGCACCTAATTTTCGAAACATCAGACGCACGCTCAGGAAGTCATGCTGGTTAAGAAATTCAGTTTCGCAGTTGTTTACATATTTAAATCAAGCGTTAAATGTAATATTTGCGTCCGGGTCATTACAGAATTTAGTAATTTTATTAGCAAATCTGTCTCCTGAAGGTGCTATTGCAGCCTGAGAAGCCTAAGGAGATTCCGAACCGGAAAAGTTTGAGTGATTAAGCAGCTCTATGTTCTAAGCCATTTCAAGGCACTTGTCCGAATTCGATTAATCCAGCGCTTCCGCAAATATTCTTCCAATCTCCATAAGTTATTTTCCCGGTGGTATATTGCAAGAATACGTATTCCCCAGTATCTCAACTGGTACACGATAAGTTACAGAAATAAAAATGATCAGCGTGATTGAAAAATCTATAGAATCAGTTGAAAGAGCGGATATCAACTCCGTATCATTTACCTATCTGGATTTAATTTTGGGCGATATAAATCGTGTCTCCTGTATATCGTGGTAATCAGCACACAATTATGCATCAAATTGTTTACACATATGGAAGAGATGTAAAAACCTTCGTACGTAGGTAGGAGTTTTTTGATAGTCCACCTGTACCAAAACTGTGGAGTACGTAACAATGTGATTGTACACTTTTTGGTTACTTGTATAAATTCGAGATATTGTACATAATTTTTGTTTAAAACGCTTCTTGTTGAAATATACATAACTTCCTGGTACAATTGAAAAATACACTCTGCTGTTGGAGACTTCGTCTTCTCCCTGGTCACTTCTGCTTACTTGCTCCACTCACACCGTGTTGTATACTTCGGATTTATTGTAGGAGCCTACTACTCTCAACCGAAGACATTTCTACAACCGGAACACAGCAGCTACAGCAGACGCAGTCCAAACAATTAACGTGCCCGTGGATTATATAATTAATTTGTAGCCGAGGACTTAGACTTTATATCCAAGTAATCCTTTTTGTTGCTATAACTCGTCACTGTATTTTTGGTAATATATTGTGATTTAACACTCCACTGACTTGGATTATTACTTTTATATTTGGAATGTTAGTGAACTCTAATATTAGTCCCCTACAAAACTACTGTGGGGAATAATAATTCCAAAGCCTGTCTTCTGCTTGCTCAGGTAAATTCGGCAGCGCTGACTCATCTCCACGTAGAGGGTTCCTATTCCGTTATCTCAGGGTAATTTGTGCCACAATACGGAACGGAGAGATAACTGCCTGCGAATATATTGTTGGGTAATTCTCAAATATCTGTGGGATTACTGCTTAGCCCACAGGTTTTTGCAAGGATAGTAATTAATGTGTCTCGCTCTTCAACCACACCCCCAAAATGCATAGATTGGCATGGACGGTGCAGTGTCGTCTTCATTATTCCCGCTCACGTAATGAGCATCGAGCCCAGAGTTATTCATTTTAGTGGCTGGTATCGGTGAATCGAAGTTATGGTGGGAGTATTTCGTGAACGTTTTCGAGTGGGAATGACAATAGGTCCGTCAAACCCAGAAGTCCTCAGAGTTTACAAGTGGAAGACTGCATCCGTGGGATATTGGAGTAATGAGAGAATAACCGGCGATACCTTATCTCAAACAGTCGTGAAAAATACTGCACATATCAGGAGCCCCATAAAAATCCAGCCCTACTCACTGTAGTCCCAGATTAGGAAACCAGTTCCTCAATGTGGCTAAAGATTTAAAGATCAATTCATGGTTGTTTGCTCAAACCCAACTCCATATTTTTCGCGGGAGTCATCAATAGCTCGGTCATTATCTCATCGTTCGCTATTCGGTGGAAGAGAGAAAACTATCAGAAGTTGTCAGTCACGTCTCGTAAACCGTTAATGCCCAGCTCTTGCTACGCTCGGGCCCACGCTGTCGCTTGAAGTTTCTCAGAAACGCTTAGTAATAACGGACGAAAAAACCAAAACACCAATTGTTGACTTGAGGATTCTGTATTGTTACACCAACATATAAATCAAGTATGACTAAGGTCTGTGAACAAATATTACAATAATAAATCATAATATTACTTCTGACGATGTTTCACTCTTCTTTCTGAACAGCGACCGATGAGACGATGACTGTCGTATTGATGCCTCCGCGAAAATTGGGGAAGTTGGTTTTGAGCAAACAACCAAGAATTGATCGTTCAATCTTCAACTCCATTGACACTCCCCGGCAATAAAGGGATCCAACCCTGTTTCCCTTCACGACCAATGCACGTTGACTTGGATGCCATTGCGAGAACCTGGGTCACACAGACAGAGCTGAAATGGAAAACAAACAGAAAAGCCAACACACCACAAGCATACCCACAGCACAATCTCACACATCGCTGACGACCTGCGCCTCCAGACAGAGACCTCCTCTTGACATCTTGCAACACAATCGCCACTTGCTAGAATGACTCTTGCAGAATGCAACGTGACCATAGCACCAACTCATGATACTCTACGCACATCGTCTTATCTACTCATTACCAATTACCACTGCAATCGCTTGTCACTCATTCTGCCTCAGTTCTAGTAGCGGTGACGCATGCGAGCCTCAGTCGTTTACACTCATTCTCGCCGGCGTGTCGGACCGCAGCTAACAATTATCTCTTGTGCATGTCATTCTCAGCAATAGCCTCCCCGGCGTATACGCCCCATCTGCTGTCTCTAACATCAATCAATTCATTCATGGATGTAGAAGAGTGGACACAACTTCAGAAGTAATCACGACGAAAATTTTAACAAAATTATATAATAAAAACAAGGTACGAAAACAACGAGTAAACACAATGAATCTAAAAGCACCAATTGATATGACACACCACACATATATACAAACAGTACACACAAACTCGCAGTTCATGTCTTAATAATAATAATATATATTTCTTCCTGTTTATGCAGGAACATACCAATTGTACAGGCATGGATAAGTTATTATATAAATTACACAAAATTTGATGTATAATGAATTTACAGTTTGGTTGTTCTTTCTGACATCAAAGTCAGTCGGAACAGTCTGCTATAAAGTTTGTTTGTGTAGCACATAAAGAGATATAGAAATATTGTCTTCGCATTAACAAAAAACCCAGACATCAGATGAATGTAATACAAATATCTGGGAAAAATAAAGCTTGAAGTCAATTCTCTATATAACTTTGTTGTGAACAGCACCCTTGGCTTAAAGATTATTGATGTATTATGTTGAGATCAGTGATATATTTATTCCATTTTTTCAGTAGTCTTATCGTAGTTTTATAACAGGAAAGAAATTTGATCGTGGATACGAAAACTAGATAAGGTCATGTTGGGTTGTTTTACTGCATCAAATGGTGCCGAGGTCGATTCCAGAATTCTCCATTTGCTCCATTTGTGTCTGCATGGCGGACTGTATTCGTAAGTTGAGTAAAATGTTGAAAACTGTTTGAAAACCAGTTGCTTCTTCATTTCAGATCATGAATACTCATTTACAGCATGTTCGCCAGCGTCTTCAAATGGTAGAATTGGATCGTTCATGGAATTTGAGTGGTTATGAGATAGACGGTTTGGAATTAATCCTCATTTCAGTTTAGATGCAGGGTTGTTCGACCTCGACCAGAAGATGAATAGGAGCAGCAAAATACCAGAAAGAGAAAGTATGTGAACATGAAAAGGACATTAATATATGCATTTATAAATGTTTATCTTAATGTATATTATACTTAAGTAAACATTTTTCTATATTGTATTGTTTTCACGTATTTATGCGAAGTC